TCCTCACGATACCTGGATCAATTACACACTAGAAACCTCCACTTGGCCAAGCCAATCGCCAATCTTCGGTCCCGGCCGTCCTTCCACGCGCCCTCGTTCCGACCGCCCAGGCGCTCATTGCCCAGGGTGCACTGCAACCAAAAGGGAACCAGGGCAGCAAAAGGGCATTGCTTGTTTGGCCGTTGCTTGGGCTCAAACCCCGACGCACCGCACCGCACCGCACCGCACCGGCCGGATAGATACCTACTCCTGTACACTACTCCTCGCACACTTGTCTTCTCCGTTTCCTCAGCTCCTTCCCCCGATCCGATTCCTCGTCCGCGGCTTGAGGCATTTGACCATCACCCTCGTCCATCCTCACTCAACGATCGACCTCAGACGGGGTCCCAATCCTTGCAGCGCAACTCTCGGTCGATACAGACGCCGAATTGAAATCTTGGTTTCGCCCCCCCAGCAACCCACTCCATCCAGAATCCGCTCGCATCATTTCCCATCTCGCCAATATCACGCTCACGCTCTCACTACGACCAGCCATCCATCGTCCTCAAACCATCAACTATACATTCAAAGTGCTTCAATTCTATATCTCGACAACACTGTGCGCGCGCTATTTCGATCGACCTCGATTCCCATCGCATACATACCCTTCAACGCTTGACCACGGACCATCAGCCTCCGCGTGTCACGGTGCGACCACCTGCAGTCTTGGACGTCCGACCGACCGTCTTCCGCAGCAATCGTAGTCCATCTTCCTCTCCCCGTCTGGTGCCTACCTCGTTACTCGTGGTAGCAAGCCAAGATGAGGGAAGTCAACTTCAGCATACCCAACGTCAACAAGGCGTCCGTTGGCATCACCACGGCTTTGTATGACCGACGAGCGCTTGACTGCACCTCGACCCTCCCGTTGATCAACTCCCTAAATCATCTCGCCTATTTGACCACGTCATCGGCACGTATCCGAGACATTCTCACCGTCGATGGCGGTATTGAAAGACTAGTCTGCATCCTGAAGGAGGGTCGCAGCAAGGATATGATGGACATGTGGAAGTGGAATTTGGCCTTCCAGTGCGTGGTCAACATTGGTGTACGAGGCACGGAGAATGTCCGAACCCGCGTTGTCGAGGCCGACATGGTGCCCGTCATCGCTACCATCCTCGACAATTACATCAAAGTCATCGAAAGGGTCCGCGAAAAGGCAGAAGAAGCAAAGCACAAGTCGGATCCCCATCACCGGCACAGGATTAGTGGCAGCAACCGGGTGCACAAATCTGCAAGCTTCTCCTCGAGGCCTACCAACGTAGACGTTGACCAACGCGCTTTCCGTCGTCAGGCTGCGCCTCAGCCTATCGATGTCTCAATCACCTTGGCTGGTCCTTCGACGGAAGCCGCTGCACCGGATACTGAGACGACCCCGACCGCTTCCCGCTTCTCCGGTCAAACCCTTGGTGAAAGGACTCCTTTTTCTGCACACCGCTCACATCACCATCACCATGGTGTTAGAACACAGGACTCACAATCGGCTGTACCTTCGCCTACTCGTCATGAAAGTCAGCCGCCTGCACCGGCCGGGCCATCGTCTGTCGAGAACGTTGATAGCTTTGCCAGAGCCGTGCGAGAAACCGATCGCCTACGAAACATGGGGCCATTTGCTCACGCAAACCTTACATCTCAGCCTGCCTCGCCAACAACACCTCTGCCAACCAGCGTCCGGCCCCCTTCGATCCTGGCCCCCAATGGCCGCTCTCGCCGTCGACCTTCAATTCGCCATCAACATTCAACCGCTGCCGAGACAGACGATATGAACACCGACAGCGTAGCATCCGATGAAAACCAGGATGCTGAGATGTCAGGAACCGCAGACGTACAAAACGAGGTTGGAATCCAGCAGGTTTCGGTCGAAGATGGCGATGGTATAATGACTGGTGCAGCTCTTGACCTGGTCACCCCGACGGCTTCGGAGGCTCAGGAAACTGGAACCTTCAACATCACCCACCAAGGTGCCGTGGACACCAGCATGGAAAACAACACAACCCCAACTCAAGTCACCAACCTCGGTCTGTCTCCAAATAGGCCGACCATTGCGAACACCGCGCAGCCGTCCATGCCCAATTCACGTGTCCCGCATTACCTGCTCGATCGTCATGTAACTCCTAACCCGCAGATGCTCGCTGCCATGCCCAGGGAGGAGGATGTGTTGATGTCGTTGCAGCTGCTGGCATACGTATCAAAGTATTGCAATCTTCGCAAGTACTTCCAAAAATGCCACCTTGTCCCCAAACTCAAGATTGGCAAGGAGATCAAGCTTCTCGACGGCACTGATCCCGCCGAGTTGGAGGCCGAACTGGAGGCAGAAGAAGAAGAGTGCGAAGAGGAATACCTCCTCCCCAACGACCAAAACATATTCCCCCTCGTGGAGAAGTTCACAGTCCGGTACCACAGCACAGACATGCAATACTGGGCCGGTGTGGTTATGAGAAACCTGTGCCGAAAGGACGACACCCGGGGAGGCATCCGTCAGTGTGCCTACTACCAGTGCGGCAAATGGGAAGAGTACACAAGGCAATTTGCGAAGTGCCGCCGTTGCCGGCGTACCAAATACTGCAGTAAGGAATGCCAGAAAAGCGCATGGGCTTTCCACCGCCATTGGTGCATTGCAGCCGCTCCATGATTTGGACGTATACGGAACGATATCCGTTATTGATACCCCCCGGTACACACCTCCCGGGATACTTGCTGCTTGCATGGCGTTTTGCGTCTAATGTCTACTGGGAAGAGGAGTTGGGAAACTTTGGTGTGGTTGAAGCGGCATTACGAAGGCAAAGCATGTTCTCCTGTTGCATGGCATTGCGCGATACACATATTCAAGGCGGTTCAACGAACATGCATCACACACAACTCATGCATTGAATTTTTTCTTTACAACATCACACACAGTCCATACGATTCCCCTTTGGTTTCAATCCCCTTTGTCTTTGCTTTATACAAAGATGCTCTTACCCGGCTGGGCGCAGTGTCTTTGAAGTCTGAACATTACGACTACCCGTCTTTGCTAGATCAAGTTCCAGCTGGCTTTCTCGATTAAATGGAATTTCGCATTATATCAACACTGGCAAACACCTGCTTCCTGTATTGAAATCCGGCACCACGTTGACATGAAGCCGATTAGCGTCCAATGATACGAGCGAAAACAAAAAAGACGCAGTGACGTGAAGGAGAACTCGCATCGCACCTCTATCTTTTCCCGAGGTGTTTGGGCCAGGATTGGAACTTTTGGGGGGCTTTGGAAGGTGTGGGGTGGTCGGATGGATGGTGGGAAGGCATCATCGTTGTTGGCGTTCTCTCTGATTCCCTTTTTCTTTTTCTTTTTCTTCTTTTTGCAAGCATGTTGAATAGGTTGTTGCTTTTTTTTCACGGTTACCTAGGCATGGATGAAACAGAGTTAAGCGGGTAAACACGCATACACACGAACAAATACGTTCAAAGGGTCCTTTTTTTTCATTTCTTTTTTTTTTCATTCACTACGTTCCTCCCTTTTGTGATGATGACGACGATGATGATGATGCAAAAGTGTGTGCGAACAAGCGATGAGGTAGTAGGAAAAGGGACATGAGATGAGCATCCAAATGATGAACAAGATATAATGACCTTCCTTGGCTGGATACATGGGATGAAAGAGGGCAAAGAATTTCTGGGGAAGAGTTACGTTTCGGGAGAGAAGCAAGGGTAAGGGACATGAGGAGAGCCCAGACAGGGGTTTTGCACAGCAGACAGGTGTAAGGATTCTTACGTACCTGCTTCTGTACTCTGAAGCAATGAAAATATTGGCATGAACAGATGAAAGCATGACACGGTCAAATCATACCAATACTTTACTCAACAAATGGTGGTGTACCACAGCAAAGATACGATTTAGGACAGCGAGTTCCCGAGGCCGTAGACATGAAGAAGCCACGCAAAGAATTTACGAAAGCCACAGAGTACATAACCCGATTTTAAAAGATGACTCTATATTGAAATTCGGTCCTTGGTTATTCCATTGACACAGCTAAAGATAGCTTGATGGCCCTCGCTTAGAACCCATCAGTTGACTAGTGCTCAACGACTGTCTGAATTTCCAATATCAAATGTCCAAGTTGGTGAAGATTCTTTTCACTTTCCTTCCTCCAACGTCGAGCTGCCCGATACCCAGACTATCATTGATTTTCGACCGAAATCATCCGGTATTGCCAACGAAGCCACCAGAGACAAGGACCCTGAGGAGCAAAATCAATCAGTTACCTCCTTTTTCCTGACCTTTCCCTCTCCGTTACCCCTCACCTTCCGTTCCCAAGTTAAGCTCACCTACAAGTGGCTCCTCCCTTCCAAGTACTTTCAGCCTGCCCAGAAATAACCGAGACTTAAGCAAGTCCTATCAACCCATTGCTTACAAGTTGATCCATAGCATGGAATGTAAGCAATAGCACTTGCCGGCCCACTCTTCGAGGTTTTACGTAGCCACCAGCGGCAGTGATAGAGACATCAAGAGACTCGGCGGCAGCCTCGGCGGCGGGGGCGGGAGCGGCCAGGACCCCTGAGGTTGTGGGGAGGGTCGTGAGGTAGAGGGTTAGCATGGTGGTGATTCCTTGGGGCACGGCGTGAACTTGTTCGTGCTACTCGGTGGTGAATGTAGTTTCTACAGGTTGGAGGTCCACTCGCTTTGGTTTCGGTTCCTTCTCCCTCCTCATAGGGGGGGGTGGCGCCGGTACTGGTTTAAACGGAACTGAACTGTTGATGGTATTTGGTGCTGTACTGAAGTTGTTTATGGAACCATTGCTGATACTACCTACTTCCTGAGTGGTGTGGGAGCGAACGAGAGGGAAGAGAACGGCCCAGAACATAACCTCTTTCTTCGTTGCGTGTTGCAATGTGGCAAGCCTAGAGAGGCAGCTCTTGCAGCGGAAGGAAGCAGGTGCGCAAGAACGTTAGAACTTGCCAGATCACGCGGCTTTGATGCGTCGGGGTTCAGTTATCGACTTGGATTTTTTGGGCTGTTTCCTTTCCCGGCTGTCTTAGAATGAAATATATCCGAGTTGCATCCGGAAGTTCCTTGCAGATGCAAATAAGATGACACTGCATCGAACCCAACAGATCCCGGGTCCTCCAAACGAAATGAAACCCGCCGCCAAAGTTAGTAGGAGACACGACCGTAGACGTCGACAAGGCAGAGTAAAATACCTCCAACGCGAAGGCCATCTCAACAACTCGTCATCGAGCGGGCTGGACTGGACACGATGTGGAGGTGTGTATAAATGAGTCGTGGAGCTAGTCATCCCTCTCACTGAATCCGTCTCTCCTCATCACCCCCTCCCCTCACATCCTCTCTGAGCAATGGGTCCAGATCAGAGTCCCCCTCACCACCATCCGCCTTTGCTCCCGCTGCATGACGATAAAGCACATAATGCTGCACGATAAACACCAAGTCATAAATCATCGACACGTTCCCCAACGCGAATTTGACCGGGTTCCCCGTGATGCCCGACCAGTCGCCCTGCTGGTAACTATCAATAGCCTGCTGCGCAATACTCAGAATCCCGCCGCCGAAATCCAACAGAATCTGCAAGATGGACCACCCCTCGGTCGACCGGTTGCGGTAGTTGACAATAACCTGCGGCGTATACTTGATCAAGGTAACAACGAGCTTGACGTACGAAACGGCGTAGATGGCGTCTAGCCAGACCCAGCCACCTTCAGTCACCGCCGCGCCGCTTGTATCGTTGCGAACTGGCGAGGCCCACACCCGGGCAATGATGATGAGCGCCCCAGCTACGCAGCCGAAGAAGGTTCCCAGAATGAAGCGGCTGGGACGGCTGCCGAGGCTCGGCGCGAAGTCCCACGCGCGAGGGAAGAGGTACTGACTGACGGTGACGAAGCAGAGGATGAGGCCGTGGAAAGCAAAGGTAATGTCGTTGAGCTGGACCGTTGGCGTCAAGCCCTTGTAACGGACTGCGTACTGGGCGCGGATCAAGGGGGAATACGCAAAGGCGATGTTGGAGATGGTGTAGGCGAAAAAACCTGCTTATTCGTCTTAGAAGCTTGAAACATTTTTCTGGTGAAGAAGCTTGAACTGACCTAGCGAGTTTATGAGAGGAAAGTCTATAGTGGTTCCCGATGTTGACTTGCGCGAGAAGTTGAGGATTGATTGGGGATAGAACGAGAGAGACCAGCAGGTGAAGTACGTCCAGCCAAAGACGTACGACAAGCTGGTCAAGAAAGTGGAATCCGCCATTATGTAGCACAGCAGGCCGACATGAGATGGCTAGCACGATGGAAGTCCGAGAACGCCGACGCTTTGTGCTACATGGATGTGATGAAGTTGGCAAAAGAGGAACGTGCATGGAAATGGTAACCTGAAAGGCCTAGATCCAAACGTCATCACGTGTGTACAACCGCTTACATAAACTATGCGTGCCGTACAAGGACGACGATTTGTGTGATCTTCTTGGTCGTAAGATAAAAGATATATGCTGAAACAATACCCGCGTTGTATCGTGTACAACTACCTTCATCACTCTGCGCACTTCCCGCGATGTCTTCATTCAGATGGAAGGTCAGTGGCATGGAGAATGGGGCCGCAATAACCCTAACCCTGTTAGTTGATGGTAGCAGGGACGGCGTGAACAACCTACGTCTAGCGGATAGGACCTAGAAGCGTTTTGAGAAGCATGTAAACTTGCTGAGCATATAGCTAGCTATGTTGACTAGATACTCGCTATAATTGGTGTCGTTGAGCCCACTTGGTCGTGACTACATAGCCAACTGCCCCGACAAACCAACTGTGACCTCGACTCTCTGGCCATGCACTAGCAATGACCATTAGAGGCTGTGAATACTTCCCACCCCCTGGACGGCCCTTTACATCGGCCCCGAGGCTCCCGCTCCCTTCTCCTTGGCTTGATCACTGCGCGTCCGAACATGGCTATAGGGTTGGAGCTTTCAAGCTACCATTCAGACCCTTTAATTTACTCTCCCTTCATCATAAAAACGCATCATCGTGTCCTCATCAGGTTCGAGCTTTCGCACCAAAGGACCAATCGGCCTCCATGTGCGTCTACTTCTCCTCGCCTTTCTCTTTTAAACATAACTTTGATAACGCCAATTCAAGGGGTATGGTGTGGTGAATAAGCGTGAGGGGGCACTTATGAGATTGAAGCAATATAGTTCTGCCGTGTTGTGACTTGTGTGTGGGCGAATGAACTCGTATGGGGAAGCCGAAAGGCTGATGGAGGTAAGACGTTTTTGGTAGGATTTCCCAGATGGTGCCGTGATAAACATCGCATCTGGATCCCCTCATTCCAATCTTTAACCCAACCATCCCCTTCGTAAAAGGAACTAGACGGATCGTACAGCATTTTACATGTCCATCGACTCGGTGCCGTTAGCACCGAAGTTGAAGCCACCCTGCTGGGCACCACCGGAAGCACCGAATCCAAACTGCTGCTGAGCGCCCATGGCCTCATCACCGGCCTCGTCCTCGTCGGAGAAGTACTTTTCAATGATGTTGTACGCCTTCATGTAAATCTCCTCGTTGGCGTTCGTCTGGCAGTCGTGAATCTTCTCCATTCCTCCGCATTCCTCGATAAACAGGGCATAACGGTTGATCGAGTCAGGGCCATCGCCAGCGGCGTTCTTGTCGAGCTCGCCAACCTTGAGAATATTCTCAAGACCATCCAGGGCAACCTGGATAATCTTGTTGTCGGGGCAAGCCAGGAGGTCGCAGAGCGGCTTGATGCAGCCTTGAGCAACCAAGTACCTGATCTGATCGGGCTTCTGGAGACCTCCCGAAGTCGCGTTGCTGATAGCCCAGCAGGCCTCCTTACGGGTCTTGAGATCGGCGTGGGAGAGAAGGTGGATCAAAGGAGGGATGATGTTGGCGTCAATGACAGATTGGATCTGAGCCGAGTTTCCAGCAGTGATGTTGCTGATGGTCCAGCAAGCCTCCTTGCGGATGCCATCCTTGTTGGAGCTCAGAAGCGACAGGAGGCAGGGAAGGGCACCGCAGTTAATGATAACCTGGGTCTGAACATCGTCTCCCGTCACAATGTTACCAACGGATCGAAGCGCGGGCGTCTGAACAGAGGTGGAAGCGTGCATGAGGAGCTCAACAAGACGCCTGGGAATGCCAGCTTCAATAACCGCCTGGATCTTGTCGTTGGATCCATCCGAGAGGTAGGAGATGGCCCAGCAAGCGTCAATAAGAACCTCGTCGTCGAGCGAGTAGACGAGCTTGGCGAGAACTGGCAAAGCAGGGGCGATCTATGATGGATCAGTAGACATACTAGATTGTTCGTGATCGAGAGAACTAACCGTGTTCCAGTCGGGCTGAGGAGTCTTGCCACGGCAGAAGTTACTGAGAGTCCAGGTAGCATTCCTGAGCATGCTAAGTTTGCGGCTATCACCAAGGAGGGTCAACAGAGGACGCAGAGCACCGCAGCTGAGAACGTAATCACGGCATTGAGGGCTATCGCCAGCAATATTGCCAAGAGCCCAAACAGCCTGTTCACGCACATCAGGCTCGGGGCTTCCGAGAAGCTCGACGAAGATGGGAACAGCACCAGCTTCGATGACAACCTGGGTTTGAGTGGCAGAGCCCGAAGCAATGTTGGTAAGGGCCCAAGCGGCCTCGAACTGAACCAGGGTGTGGGGGGAGCGGAGAAACTCGACGAAGCGACCAACGACGCCGGTCTTGATAACCTCCTCAATGGGAGGGTTGCGCTCCTTGCTAAGTAGCTTTCTGAACTTAGTGGTCGCCTGAATTTGCTTATCGATCTCACTGGAGAAGACACCCTCGACCATCTTGGGAAGGTCCTCGCTCAACTATGACAACTGGTTAGCATGTTGAGATCAGCTATCACAAAGATCGGGGACGTGACGGAATGTAGGGTGATTTTCGTTTATACAATGTTCAAGTTTGCGCGCGCAGCTTGAATGCAGGTTCGGCACTGCCTGGGACTTTGTGGCTCAAGCATCACCATCATCGGCGGGGTACACGTGGGGGAGAGAAGGGAGAAGCGATGGACGGACGCAGTAGCAAAATTGTGGCCGATCATGTAAGGGGAGTAAAGTATAGGTTTGCATACCTGAGACTCGGTGGGAGGGTTCTCATCGTCACTGTCGGGGGCGGCACCAAGGGAAGCTCCAGGCCGCGAGTCGCCAGCACCAATACCGCGCCTCTTGGCCAAGTTCTCCTCGCGCTTCGCCTTGCGAATCTCGACCTGCTGTTCCTCACGACGGCGACGAAGCTCATCGGGCTTGAAGGCGCTCTTGGCCTTGAACTGGGTGCGACGATGCTCGGGAATGTACCGGTCAGCCATGGTTGCGATGTGATGTCGAGACGACGGTGTCCAGACGGATGGGTGATGGAGGTGTGATATGGAGGCGGCAAACGAGGGGCGATGCAATCGATGAAGCCCCGGCGACGAAGTTGCTGCGAGCCGTTCAAAGGGAGGTATATGCGATCAAAGAAGCCGAAGAATTGGAAGAGCCCAGCTGATGTGGTCCTGCCAAAGCAATCCTGAATGGGACGAAGGAGAGGATGGGTGCGTTGTCGGCGAGACGGAAAACGTCAGAGAAGGATTGGGTTTTGGGGATGGATGAGTTGTGTGTTTTTTGAGGAGCGACGATGAAAGAATTTGGGAGTTCGCCCGCGCCTCGAGCAGAAAGCGGAAACATGAATGCGGCGGCGGCTTGTCCCCTCCTCTACCAGCACTTTCCACCTCCACGAAAGTCCGAGTGCAGGCAGGGCAGTCACTGTGCCCTGCCTGCCACTCAGTCACAGCTGCCCCTCAGGCCTGAAGGTGGTCCACGCAGTCACTGCCCACAGCGCCCAATGCCACCAACTGTAGCGAAAAGAGTCTGGCTTCTGAAAGTGGGGATGGAAGAGAGCCAAGCTCGAGCACAGGCCACTTGAGCAGCTTTGTAGCTTGTCTGCTGTTCTTGGAGTGCAGGAACTTGTCCACCATTGGATGGCCCCACCTCAGAGCGGCTGGACCCTCCAGGCATTCTTCTCATTCCTTCCATTTTGCTTGTGAACGTCATGGATTGTTTCGTTGCAGGTTACACACTGCCCGTCATAACTTCATCGACCTCAGGCCGCGTCCGTCGAGCCGCAATCTCTCGTTTCCCTGAATGACTACGACATGTTTCAGTTACTTGAAAGAACGACGTCAAAGGCCACTCTCAACTCCCACCGTCTGGGCTAGGTAGGCAGGTACGTCTTTGCTACCTCCAGGCTTCAGGTTGTGGTGCTAGGAGGCTGGCCTGCAACGAAGCAGTGCAAGGCCCTGTTCGGGAGTCCCCGACCCCTCATGACTATACTGGGTAGGTAAGAGAAAGCACAGACCATACATCTAACCATCACCGTAGCCCTGCAAGGCTTGCTGAAAGCACAGCGCTTCAGATCTGACGGTCTGGCCCAACGGGCGGCCAAGACCCTTGCCCTGCACATGCGGTCGCGCAAGCTTGGCGATTGGGCAGCTGCCATTTCCGCCTTCAAGACGCGTAAAGTGAACGCGTAATGTACGTACAACACTGACCCCAAGTTGCCCTACGGTTACTAGTTGGTAACTGTCACGACCAACCGCTGGTGGTGTTTCATCCACATCATCATCCGCCGCCATGTAATCGGAGCGGAGAGTTGGGATATCCAGATGATGCGCCCGCTCAGAGACAGGAAACCGGCGGCCAAGGCAAAGCCACCACTTTTTCCGTCAACGCTCACACCCCTACGAGCCATTCTCGACGATGACGGAGATGCCCAGCCCGGGTCTATGGTCAATGTCATTGGTGTTCTTAAGGACTGCCGAGCACCCGTCGCGACACACGGATCGGACTGGAAGTGCACCCTGACCATCTCTGACTTGTCCATTGAAGATGAATCGGCCGGAGTTGAGCTCGTCATCTTCCGCCCCGAGGCACGCATGCCCGAAGTCGGCGCCGGAGACGTGCTTGTTGTTCTAAGCGCAAAAGTTCAGAGGTTCAAGTCCAACCCAAAGTCTCTCATCACCAGCAAGATCACCACCGTTTGCGTTTACAAGGCAGCAACAATCCCCGTCTATCCCGCTTCAGCACAGGTAGCACTCTTGCCCCCAAAGCCAGGTGAAAGCCACAAGCTGTTGAAGGAGGAACACCACCAGTATGTGTCATACTTGTACAATGTGATCGACAAGTATGACGTTCCCGACGAGGCCGAGTACCAACAAAGGGTCACAGTTTCTCTGAACGTCAAAGACAAGTTTAGTCTCTTGAAGGATGTTACGGACGGCAACTTCTATGACCTAATCGGCCAAGTCGCCAAGGACCCTTACACGGACGAAATGGGCCGAATCACCCTTTACCTCAGCGACTACACCGAAAACGACTTTTTCTTCCATTACACCTGGGAAGGGGTCAGGGACCTCGCATCAGTAGCCAGGCCAGCCGACGCCTATCCCGAAGACAACAACCCAGAAGTCGCCCAACAGCACCCATGGGTCGGCCCTTACGGCAAACGAACCATCCAAATAAGCTGCTACGACGCGCATGCCGACTTCATCCGCGAAGCCGGCGTTTCAGCCGGCATGTGGCTCTCGCTGCGCAACGTGCAAGTCAAGTTCGGCCGCAACGGCGCGCACCTAGAGGGCTTTCTCAGGGAGGAGCGCAACGCGTCCGCCCGGAAAGTCAACGTTGAGATCCTCGACATCGTCGCGCCTCACCCCAGCGTTACCAAAGTAAAATTCGACCCGCGCCTGAAAGAGGCCGTCCGCCGCTGGCGTGATTACTCCCAGGAGAAAAAGACGCAGATCCTAGCGGTCAAGGCCGCGCAGGAGGCTGGGGCTAAGCGAAAATTTGCTAGAGCCGGCAGCAGCGATGAAGTACTCCTCGATGGCCAGCCCCCTGGCAAGAAGTTCAGGGCCAAGGAACGGCGCAAACTGCACCGTGCTGAGTTGGAGAAGAAGGCAGTCGAGGAGCAAGAAAAGGTTGCCCTGGGCTTGAATGAGCTCGTCACCTGCGAAGCGCACCCGAAGCCCGTGTCGACGCTTGCATCCATTCTCGAACCGGTCATGTACGAGACAATGGTCAATGGCCAGCCCGTCAAGATTCCGCTGCCGTTTACCAATACCAAGTATAATGCTTGTGTCCGCGTCGTGGACTTCCACCCGTGCAACCTAGAGGATTTTGCTTGTGGAAGGAAGTGGACTGAGTTTGATATATTGTCGGACAATGATCACGATGATGACGATGACGAAAGTGATCAAGACAGCCTCAACTCAACCATGGACGCTTCAAACGATGAAGATCAAGACAAAGGCCGAACGTGGGAATGGCGCTTCGCCCTTCTCCTTGAGGACGCCAGCACCCCATCATTGCCCGCAACCGTAGCTGCAATGGACAAAGACAAAACACGAAAATGTGACCGTGGCCCCAAAACAAGAGCCAGGCTATGGGTAACGGTAGATAATACAGAAGCACAATGTCTGACCGGTCTGGACGCCGTTAACCTCCGCCGAGACCCTCATACTCTGGCTACGCTGCGGGAGAGGATGTTTACTCTCTGGGGAAACCTGGAGGAGCTCAAGGCTGATAAAGCTCGTGCAGCGGTCAAAAAGAGGGAGGAGAGAGACGAGGGCAAGGGCGAGGATGAGGATATTAATGGGAATGGCAGGACAACGAAAAAGCGCAAGGGAAAGAAGGCGACGACGGTGGCACAATTGGAGAATTTGAAGCCGCCGCTTGAGGACTCCGATGGCGAGCAGCAGCAGCAGCAGCATCAGCAAAATCGAGGGGAAGAGGAGCTTTCTAACAAACCGTTTAGTTGCTGTTTGAAGCAGTATGGCGTTCGGGTGTCGGAGGACGATGATGGGCTGCCCAAGACGGATGGAGCAGCGGGTGGGTGGGTGAGGGTGTTTGGGATGTTTGGCACCAAGATATGTGTATGAATGGATGATAAGTACTTGTTGATCTATATCGATCAAGCAAGACTATCACGCGCCACCGTTTGTCGCAATAAGCTTTGCTGTACGACTCAACAGAAGTTCTCCAAAGTCACTCCCCACTATGTCTGAACCCATGACCACCGTAACCGCTTTTTTCGAATCCATTATAATAGCGACTGTAGGAACGGAGAGAGAGAGCATGATAATGCACGAAACAATTAAAGTCCTTGGAGTTCTCAAAACAAAGCCTGCCTGCATGCTCGCCGCCAAATCATTTAAATGAACATAGAGTCTGAGTCGCATCTTGTCTCTTCCCATCCATGAAACCGTCACCCTGTGGTGTTTGAATACCTACCATAACTGCCCGCCCAAAGCAGATCTACTCCTCATCCATGTCTTCGTCACCATCATCATCCTTCTTACTCTTGCCGTCTCCCTCCCCGCCTTCGTCCTCGTCGTGATCCTCAATAGGATCATTAACTAATTCGGTTCTCTCTTCAGGATCGGGAACGGCCTCGGGCTCCTCCTCCTCCTCGATTTCGATATCCGATAGCTCTGAATCATTATCTTCCGCAGTGATGATCTCCGCACTGAGCGCCTGCTTCTTCCCAGCCACCGAAGCACCAGAGTTTCCGGCAGCCGCCGGTCTGCTGCCTCGAGCCCTCGAGCCAGGCGCGGCAAGAGCCGGTCTCTTCTTCTTGCCGGCCGCTTTGGCAGCCGCCTCCCTTACCCTCGCCGCCCGGCCTTCATCCACGAGATACGCCAGCGTCTCCTTAAAGTTGTGACCCAGCTTGTTTTGGTTCCTGACCATGCGCTTCTTGATCTTGCCGGCTGCACCCTGTCCCGAGCCGCCCTGGTCGAGCACCTTGGCCACGATGGCGAGCACCATCTTACCCGTGAGCTCGCAGAGAACCCGTTCCGCCTTGAGTTCCTTCCTCTTCTTCTGCACGGGCGTGAGATCGCTGTCGTCTTCGTCTTCGTCATCCTCCTCGTCCGAGGAGAAATGCTCGATAGGCCCCTCGTCTTCGCCTGGGTTGTTCAGTTGCCTGTTGATGCAGCGGGCGTAAGCGCGCTCGGCGGCGGTAAAGATTTCGATAAGCTCGCGCGTGAGTCCGGGGTCGATGGGGTCCAGGAGCGGGTTGATCAACGAGTAGTCGACGGCGGATCCCTCAGCGGCGTTGCGCTCGATAACGCGTCGGACCGAGGCAAAGGCGACGTGCAAGTCACAGAGTGCACCGGTGGCAAAAAGGCGCAGGTCATCGTTAGTTCCACGTGAGGAAAGTGTCCAGACGAGGTTCCTGACGAAGGACTGGCGCAGGGTATTAAGACGTTCGATCTGAAGGGCGGGAATAGGCCTCTGCTCGCTGACCGCGTCTCTCAGGACACGAGCCTTCCACATAAAGTAGAAGAGGCATGTCTTGACGGCGAAAGAAACTGCTTCGTCTTCGGGGTCATCCAAGTTCTCGTCAACCTGGTCGAGCTTGCCACGCATAACAATACGGATAAGAATCTCAATAGCTGGAGA